CACTCCCGCACTCGTCCATGCGGTACAGCATAAATACAAAAGTAGTGCGGGGGGTTAATCAGCCATTTGGCTTATTAATTTGCAGCTATAAAAGGCGACTGAGAAGGAGACTTATGCAGGTGTTAGTTAATCCCTGATTTTGTTCCACCTTGGGGGGTTTTGAAGGGGGGCCGTTACCAAACGATTGCCGAAGAAAATTCGTGCTAAATATGATTTCTTGGTCAAGAAATCCATTTTCTCAAGAAATGACTAAAAGTCGACGTTTTTTGTTGTTGTTTGGGAAAATCCAAAAATGATACCCAGTTGAAATTCACCCCGAAGAAATCTACGTTTAGCAAGAGTCCCATTGTGAGAATAGGTATACATAGTCACCAGATAATAGGGAGGTGCAAAAGTCCGCTTTTTGGAGTCGCTGAATAGTTATAGTGCGGGAAAGGTGCCTTTTCACACCGGAAATCTAGAAGTACTTTTATATTCGCGATCGGAATGAATCTTGAACTCGAGATTTGAGCTTGAAGCTTAATGTAAGGTTCTTATGGGCATTTATGTCAAAAACAGAAAATTTGGCCTGGACCGCACAGGTTCCGCCACTGACAAAAACTAAGGCCATATTCGCGATGTACGTAAAAAAACGATTCAGACCACGTTTCAAATACCTTACTCCGTCATCTAATAACAGTTTTGGAGTTAGTAAATTCAGCCATTTTCACTAAAAAAAATATTAAGTTTTGGAAAATTTATTCGGAAATTAGAGTGAGAATCATGGCATGCGGAACGTCCCAACTCGGTCTTACGTAGATCACGGATACGGCCTTAGTTTTTGTCTGTGGCGGAACCTGTGCGGTCCAGGCCAAATTTTCTGTTTTTGTCATAAATGCCCATAAGAACCTTATGTTAAACTTGAAGCTCAAATCTCGAGTTCAAGATTAAGTCCGATCGCAAAAACAAAATTATCCCTGTATTTTAGATGTGCTAAGGCAACTTTCCTGCACTATTACGATTTGGCGACTACAAAAAAAGGACATTCGCACCTCCCTACCAGATAACAACCTCAACGCGCTGCCAGAGCTCGACGAGCGCCACGCAGCGGCCCGCCGTGGCCCAGCAAGCGACGGGTAGAAAGAAGATGTAGCTCATGCCGAAGACCGTGGCGTACTGGGGCACCACGTCCCAGACGTGGAAGTGCTTGCCGGTGCCGAGGACGGGAGCGAGGCGGAATCGCAGCACGGCGCAGCTGATCGCGGACGTGAACAGCCACAGCACGGCCGTCACCAGCGTGGTCCACGACAGCCAGCGGAAGCGCACGGTGCGAGTGTCGCGAGACACGGTCACGGGTAGGATCAGCAGGAAGCGCAGCGTCCACAGCAGCGGCAGCAGGTCGTCGAACAAGGTCGGCAAAGCGCTGGCCCCGCTCGAGACGGGTAAGGGAACACCACCTTGCAGGAGCGGCCAGCCCTCTGGGCAAGCAGTGCGTCATTAGTATGTCCGTCACCGACACCAAAGAGATGACCACACCGTTTAACATTTCTGGGGATTTCCCGATGATTCACTCTCTACCACTACTAGAAATTCCCAGAGGACTCCATTCCCACAAGGGAACTTATAGGCAAGAGTTAATTCCTGATCGTACCCAAACTCGGTATACTTGCTTGTTGTCTATGTGGGTGACGAATGCTGATCAAATTTTTCCATGAGTGTCATACCGAAACTCCCTATAAAAGCGTATTGTTTCGAAAAATTCAAATTTCTACATTTGGACAAATTTTAAGTGTTATTTTGACTCAAAATGAGCAGTTCTGGGGGGGGGGGGGGGATGTTAGTTTCTCTACCACTTTTCGATTTGAGACCTCCTTCCGTCAATTTTGGCCTCAATTCAATATTTTTTCCATTATTTGCTCCAATAAAGTACCCCAGAAATTGACACTCAGGAAAAAAATTCTACAATCAGTCGTCATCAGCATAGATAAGATACAAATATACCGAGGTTGCGCAAATCGGGAATTTAGACTTGCCTAAGTCCCCATGTTAGTTTTCATGTCGTAAAACAGCAATATTGAAGTTGGTGGAGTTATTAGTCCACTGTAGGGGATTTTATCGTAAATTAACACTAGAACTACCGGGATTTTCGTATACCTAGATCTACCGGAGGGGTCATTTTGACCCCTAGGCACTATTTCGCCGTTTTAGCTGTTAAAAGACTGCGGTTTTGGGTACACAACTTCTTATTTTCGATTTTCTTGACACTTGATGCAATTTTTGGACCTACGGGGGTCCCTGTGTGGGGGTGGGTAGGCAACCTGCAAAGCACAAAATGTGATTTTTCAAAAGTTTTTCAGATTTTTTCGCAATATTTCGTTTTGTTTCGGGTAAATTGCATAGGATTACAATCAAATACAATATTTCTCAACATTCTAGCATAGCCTGTGTTTATTTCAGTCTGACGAACAACCGTAAACACCGTAAATACTGTAAGTAAATCTGATACTAAGGTTCTGCGAATAAAATAGTACATAAATATCATGCAATAACCGTCGTAATAGACCATTAATTAACATTTTTAACCTCCGTTCTGCCATGGAACGCGTTTTCAGGCCGACAGAACCGTTGCGAATGGCTTATAAGTATTATGTAAGGAAATCATGATTATGTGATGTGCGGGTTGCCTACCGATACTGATAGAGGATCAAAATTGTCACACGACCAAGCGGAAGTCAATACTTACCACACAGAACAACAATGGCAAGGTTTAAGTTGAAAAACGCTCGTTAAAACCATCAAAGCCCTCGAAAACTAATACAAGGGTCAAAATGACCCCTTCGGTAGAGCGAGGTATATGTTATAATATCTCCTTAAGTTTTTGACCTACATGCCTGATTTTTCGTTTCAAAGCGTATTTTGGTGACCCATGAAAAGTCAAAAAGTGGCGGGTTGGTAGAAACAAAATTTGATAGTTCATTTGGCAATTCAAAATCAAAAGGGGTCATTTTGACCCCTCCGGTAGTTCTAGTGTTAACGAACAAACGACTGTTAAATTTTATACACGAACTTTTCGGTATCGCTTAGAAAACGAATACTTGTTAAATGACGAAAAGTTCGTAATTCTTTCTAGATATGTTAGCTATCCATGTCATTGTACATTTACGAACAATTTGTTTATTGCCTACGAACAGTTCGTATTTTTTGATTTGACGAACATTGTTCGTAAAAGCACAATACGAACTGTTCGTGAGGAATTTTATCGTAAAATTACGAAATCTACTAACAGTGTCGTCTCTGTGTTTCGATCAAGGTTTCGATGCTCAACACAACACGTGAAATCTAGCCTACGGAACGGAGTCCTTTTGGAAAACCCCAAAGGACTTTGGCGATATTTTTCACTAGTGCAATCCCAATCCCAGAATTTTTTCTAACATATGCGACAACAACGTGACGCACCTGTGGCTGCGAGCTGCCGCTCGACATTCCGCAAGAGAACGGCGTTCTTGTCCGGCTTGATGGCGTTCCAGGACGGGGTGGGGTCCAGCTGCGGCCGCCGCGGTGGCAGCGCCCTGGGCAGCGCCCAGGGTAGCGCCCTGGCGGACATTGCCTCATGCCTCGGGCCGCTACTCCGGCCCAGCGAGCCCTGCGCAGGGCAGTGCAGACCATGGCCCTGCCTTTGGCCAACAGGGCGTCCCGCGAACGAGTGACGTGCACGCGACACGCCGTCAGCTGCCCCCGAGGGGCTCCGGGGTTCACAACCCTATGAGCGAGGGACCCTACGGGCCGCGCGGGGCGACAACAGCACCATGGCGTCGCGTGAGCACCGCTGCGCAATTACAGAGGCCGCCGAAAGCGCACCGGCATGTGGTCGAATAAAGAGCAATTATTTTCGATGTTAATATTGGTAAACGAGAAAATGTTCTACCGAAGAAGACGTAAGATTTTTCGGGGTAAAAAACAAATAAATACTCGGATATAATCCTCTGATCTAAGAACGTCAAAAGATGCACGACTTTTAATAAGTGTTTGATAGCTATTATAAGTAAGAATAGGTTTGACTTTTCAAAACAATTTTATCAAAACCAAGGAGATCTTTTAAATTTGATAAACTTGTTATAAAATTTAATGACCTCTCAGTACAATTGCGAAATTTTATCAGAATTTTCGTAACCTGGTTTGCAACATGAAGAAAACTTCTTGGATATCATAATCTGTTATTACGTTTAAGAACAACTGAAAATGTTATTAAATTTGAGAGATATTTTGCTCTTAAATTTCAGAATATCTTTTACAGTGAGATCTGCCTAGTTTTCTAGAAATCCCCCCTTTCGTCTCTTTTTCGCAAAGGCCTTGAGAGTGAAGAGGTAACATCTAATCAGAAACGTAATTTTTTTATTGGGTCATCCTGAATGAATTACATTTAAAATTTTCGGCACACATGTAGCAAACTCGTGGTTATAATTTTAAAAAGTACAAGCAACGTAGCGGTTAGGCATGAAGCTCAAGGAAGCTTCTCATGTTGGAGAGAGCATCTGGCGAGGGAAGCTTGCACCCTGTGACACTCAAGAGAAAGTCGAGCTCTGCCATGTGCACTTTCTCGAAGAGGATCTTTTCAGGTCCCGGCCCCGGTGGCAACATCTGACGAAGCTCCTTCGTAAGTTTTTCGAGTTCCCTGACTCTTGGCTAGAAAAAGAGAAGAGTGTTCGATCATACTCGACGCAGCACTCCACACCATGAAACGTGACAGTATGGTACTCCATGAACAACTTTGTATCAATATAAACAAACCGAGGGGTAGATACTCCTGAATTGGGTGTACAAATAATGTAGATTGGCTTGAATTTGATTTGAATTGGTTCGATTTAGTTGGATTGTTTTAGAATTGGTTAAGGCCCGTCTACAATGGGGTAGAGTAAGGGAGTAAGAGTGAAGTAAGAGAACTGTTTCCTGTGAAGTAAGGCCTGGAGTAGGATTGGACCAATTCCAACCCCACTCCCTACTCCTTACTGCGATATAAGATGGGAATAAATGTTTTTGTCAACTTTGGGCAAGGATAAGAATTAATTTTGTTAGTTTTGATCACTACTCATCTCAGGAAACAGTTTTTCCAGTATAAATGCCCAAAATCTTTAGAAACACCGAAGCCAAAGCTGCTACTCTCTTGGGTCGTTGTAGATATGAGTGAAGTAACTCAGAAATTACTCCCTACTCTTACTTCCTACTCCAACTCATTGTAGACGGGCCTTTAGAATAGTGTACTTCAATAGAGTGCTGCCCAGAACTAAGAAGAACAAAAACGGATACATAGAGCGGTGGTGGAGGCAGGCAAACGGAAGAGGGAACCCGCTCCTACCACCGCTCTCTGTATCCGGTTTAGTTCTTCTTAGTTCCGGGCAGCTTTCTATTGAAATGCAATATTATTGCGACTTTATTTTACTGAATTAGGGTGAATTGACTTAAATTGAGAGTAAATTGCCTTGAATTGGACTGAATTGGTTGAATTGCCTTGAAATTGGTTTCAATTATTTCTGAATTGTGTAGAATTAAATTATGTTGGTTAGAATTAGTTTGAATTGGGCAGAATAAGGGGGTGTACACTTGGCAGGGAACTTATCTACCCCTCGAATCAAACACGTGTGAATAACGAAAATTGCCGAATTCAAAATGGCTGCCGATCTTACATCAGCTTATTTTTATGAAATGGAGGATATATTTTGATCAGACCGAAAGGACACCTATCCTATTCGAAAGCTGGTTTAGTAATCTTGTTAGTTACACACTCGTTCAACAATGCAATCGCTTGGCTTACGTGAAAATTTGTTTTGTTTGCGCTCTGGCGGGGCCTCCGAGTAATTTGTTGGTTCACTATAATCAAATTATCTCGGCCAAATGAAACCGGAAGTGGATTGTAAAGGTACCTCGGTGAAGTTCGAACTCTGCCCTTTCGCGCGATACCATTCATGCGGTTGGTCAAAATTTCAAACAGCTTCAAAAAGTGCGGAAAAGAAATGCGTGTGCTCAACCGGCTGGCGCTCGGCCCGGGACGCGCATGCTATGCGGCCTGAGCGCTCCGTTTCTACTCCCTGGTCCAATAACGCGAGAACCCTATATTTACTTAGCCTGGACCCGAAAATGAAAGGGTGCCAAAACCGAATTTGAGCACAAAAACCGAAGGCGCACGACACACATAATCTGAAAAAGCTTTCGTTTGTCAATATGATGCACATTTCTTCCTCACCCAATTCGAATTTGCATTCGGTTCAGATGTGCACAAAAACGCATCATTCTGACAATAAACACCCCAGATTTACAGTGAGGTCCCAAACGGGAAGAGTCCTTACCGCATACGCAGTCATTGCTCCAAAATATTTCCCGTCCATTACTAATGGCTTTAAATCCGCTAGCAGATGAATTTTCATAGCGAAAATAAGGGGGTTGAGGAGGTTACAGCGACGCGCGCAAAGACCCTGGCCGGACATGTCCAATGCACTCAGAAGGTCGCGGCATGCGGTCGAAAGCAGCTCTAGGATCTTCTGATCTGTAGAAATAAAAAAGGCAATTAACGTACCGCATCGGCCCTAGATGTGGATATATTTAAAACAATGGCAAAAAGTCAAGTTTTAAGGCTGTTTAACCAAAACAATCTAAAAGCTACGCTGGTTTATTTTTTTTTATTCTTAAGCAAAGCAGAAGGGTGGGGTGTAGTCCCGCTGTTGCCCCGTTACATACTTTTGTCATGTCCAAAAAAGCAAATCTCTAGGGCCGCAGGCCCCCCGCAGGAAGCCTTAGTTTACTCAAATATGCAAAGTGATTTACAGGTCGGAATATTCGATTATGTTCTCCAGTAATTGGCGTGACCGAAATGGTCGGGCCGCCAGCAGGCCAAGCACGCCCGGCCCCTGCCGAACGGAGTTCCCGGCGCAGCGAATTAGAGCTGGCAACTCCGTTTGGCGGAAGGGCGGGCCTGCTTGTCATGTCCAACAGTGACTCGAAACAAAAATTCGGCGACTTCAGCTCAAGTGTTTAGCAGATGATACAATTGTACAGTGGCCACTCGCATAGCCGCGCCTCTCATAGCTGCGCTAAGCTCTACTAGCCTGACCCCACTGCTCACCGCCATACACTGCTAGTGTGGATTCTGATTGTTCTCTGATTACTGTTCAACGGCTTTGAAGCTAAATAACACGTACAGCACTGTGGCTTCATGCCTCGGCCGGCCATTTAGCGGAGATGGGGGTCCCTCGCATAGCCGCGCCGGCCTACAGAGGAGAACCGTGTGGCACGGCTATGCGAGTGGCCACTGTAACTGAAACTTTAAACATTTCAAATAACTTAAATTTATGAGAATAATCTGTCAAATGCGCGGGGTGCCCAACTCGAAAAAATCGTGTACACCTCATTACGAAAAAGTGATGATTACCAAGGATTACTAGAGATTACCGAAGATTACCAATGATTACCAAGAATTTCCGAAGATTACCACTCACAAAAGATTACTAGAGATTACCAAAGATTGCCATTGATTACCACAGATTACTAGTGATTACAAGGGATTACCACTGATTACCAAAGATTACTAGTGATTACCAAAGATTTCCAGGAATTTTCTTGCTAGATTACTTAGTGATAACTTGGTATAACCTGGTGATTACCAAAGATTACCTGGTGATTACAAACGATTACTTGGTGATTACCAACGATTACCTAGTGATTACTTTGGATTACCCGCGATTACCAGGGATTACTGGCGATTACCAATGATCACCGGCGATTACCAAGGATTACTGGCGATTACCAATGATTACCAGGGGTTACCTACTCTGTGTACACCTGATTACCTCGGTTGGGCACCCCTCGGTCAAATGTGTCATTGCTTGTACTGTCATGAAGCGGCGTGAACAAGGCGTGACGTCACCAGTAGAAGATATACAGGGGGGCCTGGTGTTGGCCCCGCCGTCCGCCCGCGCCATCGCTCCGCCTCTCTCCCCCTCCTTTCTACCTCCCTCCCGCCAGACTCGGCTTGGCCGGCGCTTAGTGACCCTCCTGTAAGAGGTGCGCAGAGCTGTCGAGCGGCATCCAATCAGAGCGGCTGAGAGTTCCCTGCCCGTATGAAAGGGCCCGGCTGAAAACGGTCAGAATGTGGCCTTTTATTCGTCATAATGCTGAGACGAGATCGAGACGGAATCGGGACCGCATTATGACGAAATCTAGT